AGGGACTTTGGCTTTCTCGTTTGCCAATATATTCCCAGAACCTAGAACACATAAGACACATAGTAGATGCTTAGTATATATTTATTCAATTATTAATTGTGTGTGCACGCACTCATGCACACACTTTCGTTTATTCCTGTGGTGAAGTTTGGTACCGATATTTCAATGTTTAGTTACATGTACAAAAACAATAGCAGACTTTTAGAATTAAAACCTGCAGTATTTCAGGTGATTATTATCTCAGGTGCTACACAAAAAAATAGAATATACTCTTTTGCTTCCATTTTTTGCTTTGTTGTCAACCTGTATGTAAAATAAGATTCATTTCAATAACTTGGAGTCACTAGTATGCTTCTTAGGCTCAATGGAGGAGATAAGGTGATTAATCTGCTCTTAGAATTCGCGTAACCCATTCAGCACAAGTTTCTGTGACACAGAAACTGTGCTTCCACCTACACACACACACACACACACACACACACACACACACACACACACACACAACTTACATGACATAGACTAAAACTGATTTCCTAATTCAAACTCTTATGGTAGTGATTGCCATTACTTCCATGGACAGGGAATGGACTCTACCACTACTAGAGTTCTTGGATCACTGAAAAAACAAAAAGTTCTAACTAGAAATACCACACAGGGTAGTCTCTAGTCTCTGTAGCTGATTATTTATAGACAGTAACTTCATGTTTTTAAAACATAGAAACACCAAAACCCAGAAATTTTTACCCTCACTTTGGGATAAAACTGGTTTGATAAACATACTTGCTTTTATTATTAGGGTTGATTTATTTTTATTCTGACTCATTTTAAAAAAAGCAGAGGAGAAGAGAGGAAAAAGAAAAACATTTGAGGTGGCACATTATTTTTCTACTGACTTATTACTTCTCATACCGTGTTAGATCGTCCCTCTACTTAATTCATCTGTTCGTTAAACCTGAGGACAGAGGCAACTTATAAAATACTATTAAATGTGCAAAACAACAAAGGAATCTAAGTTTTAAGTGTCTCAAATATATTTTTACAGGAAAACACAGTACAAATTTTGTCAGCCGATATGATCCCCGATTTAATAGCTGGATACAACTTCCACCCATGCAAGAAAGGTAAGTGTTTATTTCTTGTATCTGAAACATTTGTGGCTGCTTTACATGGATGCTGAATGATTTTCCATGACAAGGTATGCTGAATGGAGCCAATGAAAGACAGATAAGGCAAAATACAAAACTTGGCCTGGCCAATGTAGATTAATTGCCTTATTAACTCAATGGAGAAAAATAATCAAATAAGTCAATGTTTTATCTTAATGTAGGATGAAAAAATGTATACAACTTTTCCTCTTTTATTACATTGCATTGGTTTTTTTGGCAAGCGGGGCTATAATCTCACTGGCTATCCCACTGTCCTTGGTTATGATATATTTAAATCTTATATCTGAAATATAAAAACCATTCTCACAGTGATGTGCATTTTGATGCAGAAACTTCAATGTTAAAGTTTTCAAGTCTCACTGACTCAAATCCTTTACATTTGCCTCCTCAAATATCTTTCCATCATACATTCAAGAACAGGTCATTTGTTAGCTCTTTTTAAAAAACCAGTTTTGCAAGGTGCCCTCTCATTTTTTATGTGCGCAGTGTTTATCTCATCCAATTCTCCTAGCACCAAAGGACAAGATGACAACTACCTTTATACATATTTGGCTCTCCTGGCTGTTACTTAGGCATGAGGCCATGTCTTAATATGCATATGCAAATTCACATGCTAAATTTTGAATACTTGGTTCCTTTCAAATAATATCTCAACATCCTCAAGCAAATTCTTCAATATAATAGTAACAATAATCTGCAACCTATTTTCTTTTCTCAATCGAACTGTTTGAGAAATAATTATTTTTCTTACTTCCTTCATGATCCATCTTCACCTTAACATTTCCTTTTTTAAAAACATTCAATCAGATTGCACTGGGATCAAATTAGATCCTTAATCCTAAATTTCAAGTTAATAAATTTTCAAATCATGCCATTCATTCAAACATGGATATTATTGCAGGAAGACAGTATGAATCTATGTTATAAAGTGACTTACTAACTTTCTATTCCATATAAATATATTAAAACTTTCTTTCAGAAGACTAAAACCTATTCACTGAAAATGATGAGGCACAATATATTAAAAGGACCACAGGTACTTTCAGGAGTGTCTAATTGAAAGGTACCTCAAGAAATTATTCTAAGTCAGTTAATATCCTGACAAACTTCCCAACCTTCCTGTTTGTAGACACAAATACATAAGACACTCCTGGTGTCTTTCCCCTTATTTCTCTCTTGTTGGGGTTATTTCCTGGTTGCTGTTATTGTAGCTGCATCACTTTACCCTTTAATCAAAACCGTTCAAAAAAGTTTGACTTAAAAAGTATTTTAAAAAGAACCATCAATAACATGTTTGAAATGTCAGCATTTCATCACCACAGTCCCATTTGCTGGGGGCTGTACACCACGATAATTAACCTTCATGCCTTGGGTTTGGGAGGCATAACTCATGTTGCGGTCAATTATCTCACTGTAGAGCCCCTAAGGATGAGAAGTATTGCTGCAAAACCTAATTAGTAATTTTTTCTAAATGTGTATTGTTTACTTGATATTCTATAATGACTTCCTCTGAGGCACTATGGCCTTTCATGGCAGGGTCCTACTTAGACAATTTTTAGCAGCTCATTGACCTGATAAAAAGACCTGCCATGGTCTGTCGGCGCCCGGCAGCCACCGTTGACAGGATGGACTGTTTAACGTTTCTTTCTAAGTCATTATGGTATATCATGTCAGGTCCCTAGTAAGAGAAGTTTTTTTTTTTTAGACTTAGAACAATCAACTCGATAGACCAAATAAAGAGCTCCTAACAGAGCAGAATGGGAAAAGGCAGATCTCACAAATGCCCAGTCAATCTTCTAGCTCCATATCTCCTATGGGTTGGTTGACCCAGGCAGCAATCCATAACTTAAAAAAAGAAATTTTTCTGTCATTGCTGAGCTTCTATTTAAAATAGTAAGTACAATTGGTTATCAGCGTGATCTAATTGGTAATTAAACATAGAAGACAAAAAACTAAAATACGTGAGACACTTTTCTGATCTGAAAAGAAATTTCTTATACATTTAATTGAGTTAATTTTGCATTGGATAAGTGATGAATGAAACTCACCAAAAGTTCCCCACCTTTCTCCCCTTCCGTTCACTGCTACCAAAGTGTTCAGAAGTTACCAAAGTGATTGAGAACAACAGAAACACGCTATAAACCACATCTGGGGTAACCCATTCTTACAGAGTTGGATGGACAGATTGCTAGGATATCTTACCTAATCAGACCTTCCAAAAGAGTAGAAATAAAAGTGCAGAATACCCCCCCATTCTGCTGGGAAACGGGCACATGGCCTCCAGGCTTACTCAGCCGTGGGTCAGCTCGCGAGCTGCATGCCTGCTACCAATGAATTTACTGAAGGAAACGAGTAGACAAAAATATAAATGTAAATGTCATGCTGATGAGTTGTTTTGGTCTCAGATTTAGGATTTGATTCTTCAGTAAGAAGCAGAGGGCAAAAATGAAAATGCGAATCAATAGAAATGCCTTGGTGACTAATTTTTTTTATCAAAATAGACATTTTAGGTATTAAGTATGGAGATTTTGCTCCCTAGCTAGTCTAGGGGGAAAAAAAGAAAAAGAAAAGGCAGTTTGGAGAACAACAACAAAGCATATATTTCACAGAGACAGAGTAAGTGAAAAGCTGGCAAATACATCAGAAATGTTTCCAAATTTAATAAGTATGTTTCTAGAAGCCTTATAAGAATCATGCGAGACAATATTCCATTTGAAAAATCTATTGTTTTTAAGCTGATGATGGAGTTCAAAATTTCAAGCTGAGATAGTAATTCAATCTCATGCTTTGGGATATACACTGACCACCCTAAGGCTAAGAGAGGAGGTAAAGACTGGACAATATTAAGATTCAATGCATGTTTGTAGACGGTATTGGTAGTCTTTTTTAAAACTTTGGTCAATATGCTGAATATTGCCTCTGATGGTGGGGTAAAGTGGGTGCTATAGGGAGAAGAGATGAACAATTTAAAATACAAATAGTATATCATTCCATTAAGGGATCTTTAACAGTAGTCAACTTACTTTTGCAAGAATAGCCTAAATAGCCTACACCAGGTGTGCTGTTTCCTGTGGAGATGTAGGGCAGGGAGCATTCCCGAGAGACCTGGTATGGAAAAATTTTAGCCTGGAGCAAATGTTCACAGCTGCTGACAGGCCATTAACCAGGGTTTCTATAATGCATTTCCTGAATTCTCACTTTGGGCATGCAAGGGAATAAAGTCAGAGACTCAGAATCTTCACTATTAGAATCTTCTACATAAAAATGCACTTTTCGTCAGGAAGTGAAACCCACTGATTTTTTTTTTCCATTTAGATCCTAACAGTGACACTGTGTGGATAAAGCTAGGAGTACACATGGAGCATCAAATTAAGAACGCCTCAGCTAAAAAGAGCAAGGCTGACTCAGTGTCACAGTGAGGAAGGAAGGAGCCAGATCAGGAAAAGTGAGAGAACTGCAATTTAGACAAGATAAAAGGCGTTCACACTATGAAAGAGAGATCTTTCTCCTATTCTCTCTCCACCACTTAAACTTAACTAGAAGGTTTTCATACTAATGGGCGTTTTCTCTTCTAGACCAGTAGATAATACATAGAAGAACTCAGCACTCTATAACTCGCATAGTCCAAATTATTTTAAAATGCCCTGTTAGTGAAATTAGTAGACTAATTAATTCAGAGGCTCCAAGACCTGTCATAGAATAATATGGAAGAGGGATACTGACCTACCCTTATGTCAATTGTGCAAAGAAATATCTATGTACGGGTTTTTCTAGACATGTGTCAATCTTTTCAATAAAACATGTTAACTGAGAAGGTAAAAGTACAACTAAAATAACCTTGACCTACCACATTCAGTAAGAGAGTAATTGAAACCTGGCTGGAGAAATGGAAGGAACTAGCAGTCTATATATATGCACTTACTTTTCCGATGGTTTTTAAACCTAATATTATATTTCAATGAGTTTTTACTCCTGTAGACCAGGAAATCCCATTTTTTTTTTTTAGGTTTGCATCCCTTTGATAATCTGATTAAAATCTTCCTCTAAATCTTTCTCCAGATTCTTAAAAAAAAAAACGCACATGTGCAAAACATATATATGTGTAGTATGTGTGTGTGTGTGTGTGTGTGTGTATTTTATAACAATTTTATTACAATTTTCAAAGAGTTTCACGGACCCCCTCAGAAGACATGGGCCCAGGTTAGCAACCCTTGTTTTATGAAATCTGTCTCTCTTGCTCTTTATTCTCCCTCCTACTTTTTTCCTTCCTCCTTTTCGCCTCATTGTTCTTCATCATCCTTCTGAATTTTCCACAGCACATATTTTTTTCAAAAGCATCAAGAAAATATAGAAAAAACAAACATAGCCAAAACATTACTCTAAAATTATCAATAATGCTAACAATTTCAGGACTATAAAAAATAAGTGACCCATATAATCCAGCAACCGCACTTCTGCGTATATATCCAAAGGAATCAAAATCAGTATCTCAGAGACATATCTGTACTCCCTTGTTCAGTGTAACATTATTCACAATAGACAAGATGTGAAAACAACCTAAGTGTCTCTTAACAGATAAATGGATAAAGAAAACATAGTGTGTATATATATATATATATATACATATATATATAATATAATATTATATTATTATACATATATATGTATAATGAAATTTAACCATAGAACTGAAAGAAATTCTGCCATTTGTGACAGCATGGATGATACTGAAAGCTATTATACTAAGTGACATAAGCCAGATGGAGAAAAACAAACACTGTATGATAGCATATACGTGGAATCTAAAAAAAAAAACAACAACAACAAACATATTGAACTTAAAGACATAGAGAATAGAATAGTGGTTGCCAGGGGGTAGGGGTGAGGGAAAATAGGGAATGGTTGTTCCAGGGTACAAAATTTTATTTGTAAGACGAAGAAATTCTGAAGATATAATACACAGCACTGTGACTGTAGTCAATAATATTATATTGTATGCTTGAAATTTGCCAAGAGAGTAGATCTTAAGCATTCTAACAAAAAACAAGCAAATAAACAAAAAAAAAAACAAAAGCAACAACAGCAACAAAAAAAACGGTGGGGGGGGGTAACTTTCAGGTGATGGACGTGTTAATTAACTTTATGGTGGGAATCCTTTCACAATATATGCATACATTAAATCATCACATTGTGCACTTTAAATATATTGCAATTTTATTTGTCAATTGAGCCTCAATAAAGCTATAAATAATAAAATAAAATACAATATTGCCATCTGTAACATATACCATACCCAGATAGTAATAAACCATCCAAACATGTGTTAAAGAATTTAGTCATCACTTAAATATTATTAGGAAAAGTTTATACGCAAACATCTTGATGACTGAGCTTTACAAACTTCTTTATTTTATTTTTTTATTTTATTTTTTTACAAACTTCTATACAGATAATATTAACTGATGGTTCCTGAGGATGAACAAAATGCTAGACACTACGATAAGCACTTGACCTGTGTATTTGCAGATAACCCTGTGAGGAAGACACCATCCTCCTCCTCATGTTACAATGGGTAACCTGAGGGTGAGAGGGTTAAGTGATGTGTCAAAGGCCACACACCCAATAAATCACAGAGCCAAGCAATCTGATTCCAGAGACCAAACTGTTAATCAAGATGCTCTATGCTGCTTCCCAGAGGTTTGGGCACTTTGTAAACACAAGTTGGAAAATTTCCAAACTGTATAGGTTTACCTGATAAAAACTTCTAGGACTCCTCATCTTGCTATTGATATTGACCAAGAGTCGTGGCATCAGTTTTTAGGAAGATCCTTAATTCATCAAACATAAATTATATTCTCTGAGTGGCTTGTCACTTAACAGCTGTACTCTTTCAGTACTGGACCATTTGGTATCCTTATGAATACACAATTCTAGTAGCATCAGTGAGAAAAAAGAAGCAGAGGATCAAGGAGTTTCTTAAGATTTCAACCTAGTCATCCTAACTCCAAATATTTGAGTCCTCTTCAAACATTTATTCTCCTTCAGCTCTCATAGCTTATTAGTTACTAAGTCTTATATCTTCCTTTAAAATATTTTTTCACCACCCCTTTCCAAGTCTTCTTCCAGAACTCTAATTCAGGTCCTCAGTAACCACACCTAGATTTTGGTCTACCTCAGAATTGGTCTCCGCGTCTCCAATTCTTTCAACACACCTTGTGTCTTTTGCCTTTGATAGTATAGTGGGATAATTTAATAAATAGCCTCTCTTGAAAAGAGACTAAAATATATCCTATAGTTTTGTAAGAATAACACCGAAAGCCACAACGATGAAATTCCTTTAATTGGTTATATAAGAACAAAATTTCAATATTATATTCAGTTCACAAAAGTTTCTCTATTTGCAGTAGTACTGGGTGGCGGGGGGAGGAAAAAAATGATAATTGAAGAAAATTTTTGATGATGTAGTTCTCTTATAAATTGGGAACAATGACCCTTGAAGGACCATAAAGAAAGTGAATGTCAAGATAATTTATTATTGTTACATTATCTACCTCATTTTTCACTTTGTCTTCCTGAGCTGTGATATCTTTACCGGGTACCATATATCCCAAACATTAGTGAACACTTTAACAGCATATCAAAAGCGAGATAAAAAGACTTGGTGAATTGCTCCTCTACTGTTAACTTTAATATTAAAAAATGCTATCCAGAATGCGCAATGCGTATGATTACTATATAAGATTCCGGGTTTAGAAGGGAGTTATATGGGTAATTTCCAAAGGTTTGCAACCCTTTCTGAAACAGAATGTACCTCCGTCCCCTGATTGGCTGGGCTCCTTTTGTGATTTATGGTGGGTTGTCATTTTTATTGTAGAAGAGCCAGTTTCTATGCATGTCGGTTGGACAAACATTTATACGTTATCGGTGGAAGAAATGAAACCGGCTATTTGTCCAGCGTGGAGTGTTATAACCTAGAAACAAATGAATGGCGTTACGTGTCCTCTTTGCCTCAGCCTCTGGCAGCTCATGCAGGAGCAGTGCACAATGGGAAAATATACATTTCAGGCAAGTCATTCCTCCACTTTCTGTTACAAAGTTCCGTTCCAAGGCACGTTCTTGACTTGTATGTGTATGTTTAATTCACAGGGGGTGTACACAATGGAGAATATGTCCCATGGCTATATTGCTATGACCCCGTAATGGATGTCTGGGCTCGGAAACAAGATATGAACACAAAACGCGCCATCCACACTTTGGCTGTAATGAATGATCGCTTGTATGCGATTGGAGGAAATCATTTGAAAGGTCTTTTTAAAAAAAAATCATAATAACATTTGCATCTCATGTTTCTTGCTAAGGGGGTTTCTCGTTAGATAATCATAGTTAACCAAGTAAAAAACATGTTGACCAAATAAAATCTACTCTATGTAAATTACCAGTACCCTTGGGCAAGCATTTATTTTGGCTCCTCTGCTAATAGGATTATTTTTAAGTTACCACACATATTAAGGAAATGAATAATGATGTCTACAGACAATAAAAAAATGAAAGCATTAATAACTTAAAAAGCACAAACAATTTGTTGTAACAATGAATTTAGTAAAATAAATTATTACTTATCATCAAAGCTATAGTAATGGATTTTTTTCAGAAAATTGTTTTCTGTAGTAATGTCATAGCTGCACAAAGCTAATACATGATTTTTCTTAAAGAAAACACTTAGGATTTCATATCTAAATTTAGAATTAACTCTTTTAAGAACCATCTGTGATTCCAAAATTTTTTCTATTTGCCCGTTCACTTGGATTCAAATCTCAGCCTATCTACTTACTGGCCATGTGACTTACTCAAGTCATTGACTATCGCTGTTCCTCACTTTCCTCATCTATAAAATGAATAAAATGGTATAACTATCCCATAGGATGATTGAGGGGATTAAATGAGTTCATTTGTATAAAGCGTTTAGTAGAAAACAATTAGCTTATTGTAAGCACTCTATACAATGCTTGCTTTAACTATAATTATTTTTAACCTTTTAAAAAAGGCTTTAATAAACCATTTTTAATAAGGTCTACCCCTGTGTAATCAACCAACAATATCTTTGCCAACGAGATCTAGTCAGATATTCTTGCTTTGAAGAGTTGGATTTTTTGTTTGTTTGTTTTAGATCTTCCTGACATAGCTCCTAATTTCACCGGAAAATGTATACACCTTCAAATACACAATGATCTACTTCTTGGCTCTAGACCTTTTTTTAAAAGAAGCCCTAGCCTTAAATTGGGACCCTGAGAGTTGATTCTTTTGTGATTCCATTTTGATATGTCACTCAGGTTTCTCCCACCTTGATGTAATGCTCGTGGAATGCTATGACCCAAAAGGCGACCAGTGGAATATTCTCCAAACTCCCATTTTGGAGGGTCGAAGTGGTCCTGGCTGTGCAGTGCTTGATGACAGCATTTACCTTGTGGGAGGCTACAGCTGGAGTATGGTACGTGCCCATGTTGTACTCCTCCTCCTCCTTTCTGTGTGTGCCTTTCGTTTCCCTCAAAATGTATTATCACCTACACATGTACCTTTTAAGTGTATCACACTTACATGCAAACAGTAAATTACTTTAAGTAATGAAATAGAATCAGTATGGTGGCTGTAGAACTGGCTTGCTCTCTGATCAACTGTATCATTACATGCAGTAGGTCTCTGGTTCTCTTCCATCCCTATGCTTTTGTGATTCTGGCTTTCCAACTAAAACTCAGGCTGTGGTGGCTTTACAAATGTTCTGTTGAAATTGAATAGGAGAGTCTGAAATGCTTCTGACCAGTAAGACATGAAAAATAGAAATTAGTTGGACAATATCCACAAATTTTATTTAGGATTTGTAATTTGCAATTGTGTTTCATTTTTTCCCCCTCTGTATCATTTAAATGTCCAAACATACGCCAAAATTGAGACTACAGTGGGCCCTCATTTACACATCACCCAACTTCCGCATCCACCAACATCTGTCATACTTGCTACATTTATCCTTCCTTTAAAAATTTTTTTACTAAAGTAATTTGAAGCAAATTCTAGACATCATAGTATTTCACCCTAAATGTGTCAATATTTATCTTTTAAAAAATCATTTATTTAGGTAAACACGCTATCATCAGAACCAACAAAATTAACAATAATTCCTTTATATCTGTATTTAAATTTCTCTTATTCACTTGAAAAAAAAAGTATTTTTCAAATTGATATGTTCAAAACAGGATCCAATAAGTTTCCCTTATATTAGTTATCGCTTTTACATCTCCTGCAAATGGGAAAAGTACCCCTCCCCCCACTTCTTGTTCCATGCCTTTGACTCATTTAAAAAATAGGGTCAGTTACCATGTAGAATATCCAACACTCTGGAATTAGCTACTGACTTCCTTGTGGTATCACTTAAAATAGCCCTGTGTCCATATCTCCTGTAGACTGGAATCTAGAGATAAGGGCTGAATTAAGTTCAGCTTTTCTCTTTCTTTAAATTTCTTTTGTTATCTATTTATTTTTGACAAGAACAGTTGAGGAGGCAGCTCTGTAGTGAAAATTACATTACATCAGGAGACACATAGGGTCTAGTGGTCTACATAGTCACCTTTTAAATGACGACTTATTATATTTTACTACACTTATATGTGTTGGTTTACAAGATTTATTTGGGGGTTTAATAATATTAGTTTTATTGTTTTTGCATCAAACAAGGTTGTTATATAAAGTTTGGGAGGAGCTTAAAAAGTTCTTAGTTATGTGGAGGCAAATATATATAAAGGGTGCCAAAAAAATGTATACACATTTTAAGAAAGGAGAGGAAGGAAAGGAAAGGAAAACTATATTAAAATTGTAATACTCAATATACATTGATAACAAAAGATGAATACAAGTCACATTTGACTTCTGCAATTACAAGAGGTGCTCAAAGTGATTACCATTAGCATAACTTTAATACAGTTTTTTCCTTTCTTAAAATGTGTATACATTTTTTTGGCACCCCCGGCATGTATAAGTAGATATTTGTACATGTGCTTTTTCACTGGTGCAAATTGCTAGCTACAAGAGTATATATGTTTGGAACCAGACTACAGGAGTACACTTTCAGAAAATGATTGTTAGATTGGTTGCGAGTTTATTTGTTTTTTTGCCTATGATAAAAACATAGCTGGGCCGGCAGAGTGGCGCAATGGTTAAGAACTCGCTTGGGATGCCAGAGGGCCCCGGTTCGGATCCCACATATGAGGGACAGTGACACTGCCCTCTACAGCTAAAATGCTGAACAACAGCTCAACCTGGAGCTGTGCTGCCGTGAGTCGCTGGCGACGGCGTAGGCTGCAGTCCCTGTGGCAGTGGATTGCCATGGGCTACCGTATATAACCAGCAGCCAGCGTGAGCGGCCAGTAGCCGCAGTGAGCGGCCGTCCAGAAGCCAGCGACTGATCTGCCTTGCCAGGGAAGAGCGCAATGATGGTGCCAACTTGGGCCAGTGAAGCAACGCCCTCCACAACTAGACTGAAGAACAAAAGGACAGCAACTTGTCTGTTCCCCTTCCCCTAATTCCCCAGTACTGTTCCCATCCCCCCAATTCCCCAATAAAAAAATCTAAAAAAAACAAAACATAGCTGCTTTTGTTTGGGAATGGAGGTGTTTTACAAACACTAGCCCCAGAGGTTCACAAAAGAAACAAGATTAAAGACATTTTTATTTCTCATGTGGCCTCTTGAAAAAATATTAATCAATGTGTGAAGAAGTTGGCAAGCCTTCATTTCCAGTTTATTTTAAACTGGTTTTGCACCCCAGCTCTAATTCTAAATAAAATGGAAAAATGGGGCAACAATATAAAATCTAATTTACTTCAATTATTTGAATATTTAAGGTGAGATTTTTTTTGTTTTTCGTTTTTTGTTTTTTTAACTTAAACCAGCTGGATAAGTTCTATTTTGCGGTCAATTATTTTAAGGAATTTGTTGGTCATCTAGGTTGTTCTAAGTACCTGACTTTTATGTCTCACACACATGCAAAAACAGATTTTAAAATCTTGTCAATCTCAAATTTTCCTTTGGAATAAAACAGTTTAAAATCCACTGCTTTCATGTGGAGTTTTTAAGCAAGAGCAGAGAACTGGTATTTTCTTTTCACTGTAAATGTTATACATAAGGTTGTGATTGCACTTCTCTGAATGTTCTTTCCTAAATGCGTTCTGCTTTGCCGTTACAGGGGGCCTACAAGTCATCTACAATATGCTATTGTCCAGAAAAAGGCACCTGGACAGAACTGGAAGGAGATGTAGCAGAGCCGCTGGCAGGCCCAGCCTGTGCAACAGTTATCCTGCCTGCCTGTGTCCCGTACAATAAATAACACCAGCAAGCCCTGGAATGAACAGTATCTCATTCTAGGAAACAATGACAGCTGACATCACTATTATTCTAGGAACAATGTATTCAAATGGTACAACTGCCAAAACCAACCGTTGGTTGCTGATGATTTCCAAGTAACTCCAAAAGAAAAAAGACCTGTTCTTAAACAGATACTGTGTCTGTAACTTGGATCACACCAAACTTCCTGTGGTGACAGACTCTTCCATTTCAGACTGGTTTTAACTTGTCCCAGCTTTACAAAAACTCCCCACGTGGGTCTTAACTTTCAAAAGGAGAAAGATAAAATACAGAAGAGCGCCCCCCCCCAGAGAGACCTCAGATCAGTATTGTGCATTGTTGTCTACCTGCATGTGATCTACGTTGAAGTTTTGGGGATATTGTGTTCATTAATATTCAAAATTGGACCCACTAAAATACTTACCCTGCATTACAGAAATTGCCACTTGATTCTATATTCCTAACCTGTGGCTACTTCACAGACTCCATAGGCAACACAGTTAGAGAGAACCATGTACGATTAAAGAGAAACGCTTTTATTTCTATATAACTTTATTTCATACACCTTCTGCCCCTTACAGCATCTTATGGGTTCAGAGAAGAGAAAGATGTTGACTCTTGTAGCAATTGCTTCCTGGCCTGTAGACTCTAGGCTAGGCAGAGTTATAATTTCCGTGTCCTTAATTTTACTGAAAGAGTAAAAACAAACTACACTATGTCACTATTCAGTTCATGGAGACTTTCTCATTTTTTGTTTTTTGCAGTATATAAATAAGTAGTGAACTCACCTGTTATTTGTTTCAAATGGTAGGACTGACAGACAGTCATAAAATATTGAAGAGATTGTGTTGGATAATGCCTCTGACCCAAACTTAACTCAATGAAAACTGGGAGATTGCTTTCAGGAATTTAAGGACAAAAAGAAAGGATAATTTAAGTACAGTCCCAGCTGTCTCTATGCCCCTAAAACATACACCTTAAAAGAGCCACAGGAGCAAATGATAGCTCCTAACAAACACTTCCCCCTCTTCCTCACCTTGGCTCTAGAAATGGCTCTAGATTTGGCTCTAGAAAAGCACATGACTTATCCTATTTTCCCAACTCATCCTTTGTGTTTGTAATCACCAGAGATGCCTGGGCTCAGTTAAGCAAGCAATTTCAAGTTGTCTTTAGGAGCCTAAGAAATTTAGGAGCAGAAGGTCAGAAGAGCATGAGATCATCTCAGTGTGGTCAGTCAAAAGAATAAAACTGGCATGGATTTGATTTTCAAGCTCTTCAGAGCTGGATAAACATCCGTTAGGAATAAATAAAATCCAAAAATATTTTTTTAATCACCCAGAGATGTTGAATCGCTCAACAAATGTGTCATTCAAAACAACACCATGGGGAAGCCACAGATTTAAAATGCCTCGTGATAAGCTTTCACTGCGAAGCATGTCGAGATGGACAGGTGTCCTGGAATCCAACGCCGTTTCTACAGTAAAGTGCAATCTTTGTTGTTTTTGTATTTATTTGTATGTTCAGATCCAAAGGATCCGTTGTAAAAATATATAGATAAATATATATCCAGTGCAATCAACTTTCATTTCTTTTTCCTTGAAAACATGAATATATAGCAAGAAAAAAAGTTACAGTACTTTGTGGGAAAATCTCAGCTGACAGCACGAAGAGAACAAGGTCTGCTTCAGAATCTTTTATTGTCAACTGTCACCATTTCGTCTGAACATCACAGTTTATACAAGGATATTTGCTTTCCTTAGACTTGTTCTCCATTTATTTTTTATTTCTAACCAAAATAAATAAAAGCATTATGAGAACTATAAGCAAAGCTTTCTGTATTTCAGAAAGACACAAACTATTAGAAAGTGAAAAGTGAATAAATAAGTCACAGATGATGTAAATTTTGTACAGTATTAGAATGTGTAAATGAAGCTTGCTTGGAAAGGGAAAACTTTAAATAAAAACTTTATGTACTAATTCAACTGTCTCTCATATTCCTACTTATAAAGCATATGTATAATTCTCTACAGTGACTTGTTTGAAGGTTTGTAATATGTAAATGCTTAAATATATTTATTCTGCAGATGTACTTTACAAGTTTATTTAGCTTCCTGGCAATTTATAAATGTATACAAAGTATGGACAATGCTAACAATTATGGAATGCTTCAGGAAAATTGTTGTGAGTTAAACATCATGAGTTGAATTTGATTGTTCCACTCTTGAGAGTGTTACAATAAGGCATAACTATCCAAGATCTAATAATATAACCTTTATAGAAATTATTAGAAGCACCGTATGTATTAAACAATTTCTAAAGACTAAGTGAACCACACAATTAATTAGATCAATTCTTTAAATACATAGTATTTCACTTCATTTTCTTTTTAAAAATCTGAACAAGAAGTGGTACAGGGCAAGTAAAGAGGCTGTGGGAGACAACAGGGGAAACTGAGGCATGTCGCTGAAGGTAGCAGTTGGGCAACCTTCCAGGTAAAGAGCTATTAAACAAGGGAAGCTGCTTCCTGAAGCTTGCAAGCTAGAGAGAATTTACTTTAATGCTTCCCAGACAAATCTACCATTATTGAAGATTAAACTCACAATTAAAGGGTCGTTTGATCCTCACTAATATTCCATAAAAGCAAAGGTAATGGGGTTTCTGTCTTCTTCCACTGGCTCTTCCCCTCAGTACGCTAGCATAGCACACCAGAAAAAGGCCCCTCTCCATAGGAGCCTCTGTTAACATCTTCTCCAGAGACAATGGCTACTTGTTGCATGGCTTCTTCCAAATACCCTGAATCCCCCAAAGCTCTAGTCTAGTGCTCACCTGATATCATGAGCAGTTAAGTGCATATACTTGTCTTTTTCCTAATCCCAAGGAACCACCTACTTTAAGTCCATACTAGACTGGTGAACACTGACAGAGTGAGCATAGGGACCAGAGTTTTTAATTAATTAAGCTGTGTTTGTAGCCTTAAAGTTAGAACCTGCATGTGTTCTCCCCTGTTAAGGCCAAAATTATATTTTCCCAGCTGCTTGACCCTTACATCACTTAACAAATTATCATTATCCAGAGCATAAGTGTCAAGTATTTATTGAGCATATCCCAAAAGGTATCATGAAAATGCCAGAGTTATTAAACTAGGTTCTCTATGTCAAAATATGTTTTAAGTGAATGAGCAAATGGGCCAAAATAGGATTGATAAAACATTCCAAAGCCAATTACTACATGTTGGTGGTGTCTTGATAGATTGAGTTCCCAGAGGTACATAGGATAGAAGGAAGATCATGAATGATCAAGCCTGACTTCCTAGAAGCGCCTGACCTAGAGGATGTGGAAACTTTGATAGAAAGTAAAATGGCAGTGAGAAGCAGAAAGGCCAGTACAAGAAGAAAATATCCAAATAGTATGTTTGCTTTGTTTGGCTGTAGCTGTATAGCGCTGCTCTGGATAGTGCAATAAGTATGGACCAAGTATTGGATGGCGTTCCTTCATGGCGGTATCCTATATTTGTTGACTCTATAGACTTGGTGCAATACAACAGGTTCAGTTCAAGAGATGCATATGAAAAATGCACTTCAAGAATACAACGCAGTGGTATAGGAATAAGGAAAAAATCTTCTACAAATTGAAGCTTACGTGGCTTATTCTGTTCTACTCTATTCTATTCCATTCTTTTTTTTAATTTTTATTAAAAATACAACATACAATATTATATTACTTTCAGGAGTACACCATAGTTATTCAATATTTATAAACCTAAAGAAGCGACCACCATGGTAAGTCCAGCAACCATCTGACACCGTACTATGCTATCACAATATTATTGACTATATTCCCCATGCTGTATATTACAACCCCATGACTTATTTGTTATATACCTGGATACTTGGACTTCTTATTTCCCATCCCCTTTCTGCACCTTTTTAAAATTTATCAGTTTACAGTTGACATTCAGTATTATTTTATATTAATTTCAGGTGTACAGCTTAGTGATTACACAATTATATAGTTTAAGAAGTTGATCCCCCTGACTAGTCTAGTACCCACCTAACACTATACATAGTTATTACCATACCATTGACTGTATTCCCTGTGCTTTACTTTACATCCCAATGACTATTTTGTAACTACCTGTTTTTACTTCTGAATCCCTTCACCTTTTTCACCCTGCCCCCAACCCCTCCCATCTATCACTCCAACAAATCTAGTACTCATATGGCACCATACATAGTTATTACAATGTTATTGACTAGATCCCTTATGCTATACCCTACATCCCCATAACTAATTTGTAAAAACCAATTTATATCTTTTAATTCCTTCCCCTTCTTTCACCCACATCCCCATCCCCACTCCCATCTGGCAATCATCAAACTGTTTTCTGTATTTATGAGTTTGTTTCTGTTTTGTTTGTTAATTTTGTTCTTACATTCCACATATAAGCAAAAATCACATTTCATCTGTCTTTCTCTGACTGATATACTTTACACAGCACAACACCCTCCAGGTCCATCCCTGCCACCACAGATGGCAAGAACCCATTTCCTTCCATAGCCAATGTACTACCTCCTCTTTATCCGTTCTTCCATTAACAGACACCAAGGCTGCCTCACATCTTGGCCATTGTAAACAATGTTTCAATGAACATATGGACACACACATCCCTTCAAAGTAGTGTTTAGGTTTTTTCAGATAAATACCCTGAACTGGGATTACTAGGTCCTTCTTTGTCTCCTATTATAGTCTTTGTTTTAAAGTCTATTTTGTCTGGTATAAGTATTGCAACCCCAGCTTATTTGTTTGTTTGTTTGTTTGTTTGTTTTCATTTCCATTTTCATTAAATACCTTTTCCATCCCTTTATTTTCTGTCTGTGTATGTCTTTCAAGCTGAAGTGAGTCTCTTGTAGGCAGCATATGTAAGGGTTTTGTTTTGTTTTCTTTCTTTTCTGAAGTGTGTGTCTTGTAGGCAGCACATGTAAGGGTTTTGTTTCCTCCTATGTCTTTTGATTGGGACATTTAATCCATTTACATTGAAAGCAATTATTGATAGATATGTAGCTGTTGCCATTTTATTATTCCTAACTTTGATTTTTTTTTTCCATCTTAAAGAAGTCCCTCTAATTCTTTGCAATACTGGTTTGGTGTTGATGAACTCCTTTAGCTTTTTCTTGTCTGGAAAAGTCTTTATCTGTCCTTAGATTTTTAAATGACAGCCTTGCTGGGTAGAATAGTCTTGGTTATAGGTCCTTACTTTTCATCATGTTGCATATCTCCTGCCAATCCCCTCTGGCCTGCAAAGTTTCTGCTGAGAAATCAGCTGACAGTCTTATGGGAACTCCCTTATTTTACTAGTTGCCTGTCTCTTGCTGCTTTTAGGATTTCCTTTGTCTCTAACCTTTGTCTTTTTCATTATAATGTGTCTAGGTGTGGGCCTGTTTGGGTTCATCCTGTTTGAAACTCTGCACTTCCTGAACTTATATGTCTATTTCCTTTACCAGGTTAGGAAAGTTTTTAGCCATTATTTCTTCAAATAGGTTCTCAATCCCTTGCACTCTCTCTTCTCCTTTTGGTACCCCTACAATGCAAATGTTATTATGCTTGATGTTGTCCCAGAGGTCTCTTAAACTATCCTCATTTTTTTGGATTCTTTTTTTCTTTTTGCTGTTCCAATTGGGTATTTTCTGCTACCTTGTCTTCCAAATCGTTGATTTGATCCTCTGCTTCATCTAATCTGCTAATGATTCCTTCTAGTGCATTCTTCATTTCAGTTATTGTATTCTTCACTTCTGACTGGTTCTTTGTTATGGCTTCTATGCCCATTTTTATGCTTGCTATCTCTTTGTTGACGTTCTCACTAAGTTCCTTGAGCATCCTTATAACCATTGTTTTGAACTCTGTCTCTGGTAGGTTGCTTGCCTCCATTTTGTTTGGTTCTTTTTCTGAATTTTCCTCCTGTTCTTTCATTTGGGACCTGTTTTTCTGTTTCCTCATTTTGGCTGCCTCTCCGTATTTGTTTCTATTTATTAGGTAGATTTGCATGTCTTCCAGCCTTGGCCAGATAGCCTTACATAGTAGGTGCCCTGAAGGCCCAGTGGCACAGTCTCCCTGGTCACCTGAGCCAGGTGCTCCAGGAGTATCTATTGTGTGTGTTGTGTATGCTGTCCTGTTATAGTTGAGCCTTGATTGCTATTGGCATATCAGTGGGTGAGACTGACCCTCAGGCTCACTGGCTGTGTGGTTTGGCCACTTCCACAGTTTATGGGCTGCTGTGTGGGATTCACCCCAGTGTGCTCTGGTGCCTGTTGAGACCACCCTTTGTATGTGCCAGTTGTGGGGGTAATTGTGCAGTGCTCTGCTGTGGTCTAAAGCAAACCTCCAAGTATGTTGGTTCCAAAGCCTCCAGTGCAGGCCCAGGTCACCCACTGCCTGTGACTGGCGGGGGGCTACCTGGTAGGAGCTACAAAGTGATCCAAGGTTGTTCACTGCCTGTATTAAACCTGGAGGCATGTGGGAGAGACCACACAGCAAACCTAGGACAGCTGCCCCCAATACCAGGCCTGAGGTAACTCTGCAAAAAACCAGGACACCTGGAGGCCTGCTGCCATCTGCCGGCTGCCTTAGGGTTCAGCCACTGATAAAACCTCATGTGGTATGCAAGTTGGGTGAGGCAGGGTCTCAGCGAGTCACTAGAGTGAGAAGAGCTGTGGTCACCAGGTTAATGTAGACCCTGGTTTGATGCCAATGCTGAGCCTGGAGTGACTCAGCAACAGTCTCAGAGCACAGCGAGGCCAATGGCTGCCTGCCTGAAGCCAGTAGACTCTGATAGTTTTCCAAGAAAGAGTGCAATGCAGGAGGGGCTGGCTGCTCTCAGAGAAAGTGCCTCCTGTGGTTTGAAAGTTGGGTGGGGCGGGGTCCCAGCTGAGTCAGCAGGGAAGAGCAA